AAATATATCGACTTTTGAGATATGTGTCTTCCCCTCTTGTGTGCCCTTACAAAGGGCAACAAAACAATAATTCCTCATGTATGCTTCCTTCATAAACATATTTCACATAAAGTAACAATTGTGCCATATTAAAAATATCAGTTGTTTCGTCTCACTGAATTGCAAACTTTGGGCTGCCCTCAAGCCTGTAATATGCTGCTGGAATTGGACATTACTAATTTCAGAAATTCTTTTGGAAACTATCATTCAGTAAAGGAATTTCACAAATTTCATCCCCATACTTTTTCTCATGAACTATTTCTGACATTTTAATAGCAGCAGGTAACATGAAATCTATCTCATAGGGCTTTTTAGTTTTTACAATTAAACAAGAAATTTTGTAAGATGCAAGTAAATACTTCATTGACAGTAACAAATTTCTCAAAACATTGTTTTTCTTTATTTGAAGATTTTAAAAGTCATTCAAAATATTCCTTTGGTTCATTGCAGTACATGCTGAATGCTTGGTATTAAGATGTCATTTTAGTTTGGCTGGTTTCATACTCTCTGCAGCCAAAACTTCATTACAAATTAAGCAAAGAGATTTTTCCACACCGTCATCATTATTAGAAGTAAATCCATATTGCAAAAATGAGTCAACATATTTTCTTTTTCTTGTCAATTTAGGTGTACTACAACCTGGTAGTGGAGACTCTGCCACATTTGTCATCAGTATTTTTACTTCTTCCATCTAAATTTAGTCACTTATCCATAACTGAAAAATATTTTTGTCCTAAAATATAATTATTGCTAATAATTTTTCAAATAAACTATAGCTTTAATATATGAAATTACATTTGTGTGTACTTAATTTTAAAAATGGATGTTAACATTTACATACACACACAATGGTGATGGTGGAGAAATATTACAAAAGGGCTTTTGTCTTTACTTGCTGCAATTAAATACTTATGTTTCTGTAAAAGAAGATAACAGCAATTTTAAAAAGTCAAACATTCTAACACAATACAATCCAAAGATACACTAATTTGATACTTACTTGCTGAGGAATGATGGTAGGAAAATATTAAAAGTCTTTATTTTCCATAATTAGATTATTATGTTTCTGTAAGGGCAGAAAACTTTGTATGTACAGTAAAAACACTGCAATTCATACCATACAATAGTATTGAATCAGAGCTGAGGTGTTTCTGGCAGCATTCATTGGTGTTGCATGGCATGAAAATACGCAGTGCAAAGTGCACGTGTGTGTTCAGAACCAAGACTGCAGTGAAGTTGTGTGATGCAACACAGGCAAGCATTGCCAGAAACACCTTGGATTCATTACGCATTTGATTTTGAATTAATTTTTGGTCATTGTGCATTCAGAAACATTTTGCTGTTGCCAAATTTTTCATGACCCCCTCATTCAGTTACGCAACCCTATATGGGGGCACACCCCACAGTTTAAGAAGCGCTGCTGTGTATAGCTTATTCGTACATATCTGTTTGCTTGTCATCTCACTTGTCAGATTGTGAGCTCCTAGAAGGCAGGAGTTGTTTTTATGCTTCTTTTTTTATACCCAGTATTTGCCACAGTGGCTGGCACATCCTAGGCATTTAATAAATGTTTACTGATGACTATTATACTGAATGGGACATTTACAACCAAGAAACTGGGCTATTTTTTGGCACCACGCCCCAAAAAGATATTCTAGGGTACCATGTTGGATCCTGGTCAGAGAAACCAGCCAGAAAAAGGCCACATGACAGTGAGCCAGTCAAACAGAAATTTCAGGAGAGGATTGCTCAGCCTATGGCATAGAAATAGTGGCCCAGTCTCTCCAATTTTGGGTGTCTAGAGTCAAGTGCTAGCAGTGGCTGAGCTGACAGAGAGGGTACTTCTATCAAGATGAGTAAGTAAAGTAAGTTTTAAAAAATCTAGCGTGAAGGTAAAACAGTGAACCAGCAACATGAATTTGAGGGACTCTGGACCATAGATAGTACAAGGAGATAAGAAGATGTTGGAGACTTCTGATGTTGGAGCCCCTGAGCTCCAGAATTCCTCTACCATTTGTCCAGGAAACAGCAGATGCATTAATAGTAAGTATTAAGAAGAAGGAGGAAGGGTGCGGGAGAGGGAGGAGGAGGAGAAAGTTAGTAAAAGCAAGTGGAGTATGGTCACCATTTGTCATGTAGTGAGAGCACATTATTCTCCCATTTTATTACTGTTGGGGAAGGGGTGCTGAAATGCCCCTCTACAAACATCCCCAAGGAGTATCCTTGGCCAATGAAAAGTTTGGGGGTGAGCTGGGAGCTGGGATACAGTCCCAGAGCAATGGTTAGTCAGACCTTTTAGAGTTTTTTAATTTGTTTGGTTTCTTGGTTTTTGGTTTTTTTGCTAGTCAATGGGGTTAAGTGACTTGCCCAGGGTCACACAGCTAGTAAGTGTCAAGTGTCTGAGGCAGAATTTGAATGCAAGTCCTCTTGACTCCAGGGCTGGTACTCTATCCACTGTGCCATCTAGCTGCCCCTCTTCTAGAGTTTTTAATACCTTATCCTTTTAATGACAACAGCAATGACAATGATGATGATGATGATGATGATGATGACAATGATAGCTAACATTTACACAGCACCCACTATGTGCCAGGCACCACACTAAATGCTTTACAGATATTATCTCATTTGATCCTCACAACAATCCTAGTAAGTAGTTGCTATTATTACCTCCAGTAAACAGATGAAGAAACAGACAATTAGAGATTAAGTAACTTGCCCAGCATCACACAGCTAGTAAGTATCTGAGGTTGCATTTGAACTCAGGTCTTCCTGACTCCAGATCCAGCACTCTATCCACTGTGCCTCTGTTCACCTAGCTGTGATAATAATTCTACTGTGTTAAAACACAATAAATGTATTCTAAAGTATGATGCAACTGTGTTTTCCTTTTGGGTTACGGGGAATTGAGAAAGAGACAAAAATTTTCATGTGAAATAGGGGCAAATATGAGTCTGTTATGATGAATTTTAAAAATATTCTAATTCATTGGGTATAGAAATCTATCTTACCCTACAGAAAAATAAGAGGGAAGGAAATAAAAGAGTGGGGAGTAATAGAAGGGAGGACAGATTGGGGGAGGGGGTAATCAGAAGCAAATACTTTTGAGGAGGCACAAGGTCAAAGGAGAGGATAGAATAAATGGGGTGTGGGAGAGGATGAAGGGAAATATAGTCTTTCATGACATGGCTATTATGGAAGTGTTTTGCATGACTACACATGTATAACTTGTATCGGGTTGCTTGCCTTCTCAATGAGGGTGGGAAGGGAAGGAGGAAGAGAGAGAATATGGAACCCAAAGTTTTAAAAACAGATGTTAAAAACTGTTTTCACATGCAACTGGGAAATAAGATATACAGGCAATGGGGTATAGAAATCTATCCTGCCCTACAGGAAAATAGAAGGGGAAGGGGATAAAAGAAGGGGAGGGGGTGATAGAAGGGAGGGCAGAATCACTCTGGAAGGGGTATTCAGAATGCAGGCTGTCTTAGGGTGGGGGGAGGAGAGAGATGGGGAGAAAATTTGGAACTCAAGATCTTGTGGAAGTTAATGTTGAAAACTAAAAATTAATTAATTGATTTAAAAAATATCCCATAGTAATTACTTTACATTTTAAATCCTACACTGAGCCACCATAGAAACTTGGGACAAGACATCAGGCAGGACATGACAGAACAAGATTGGGAATGGCTAGTAGATGCACTTGGCACATGGAGCATGCAGTGTGAAATAAGGCTGTAAAGGTAGACTGAAACCAGTTTGTGGACTACCTTAAATGCCAGGCTAAGGAGTTTGCGTTTTATCCTACAGTAAAGGTACTGGTTGCTGTCCTTTGTGCTGAAAGAGGACCAAAATGACCTCTATTTTAGGGTCAAGGTACAGTGTGTCCCACTGTGGCTGATCAGACCAATACAAGCTTGGAAAGCTCTACCACAGGTGGGGCACAAATAGTCCACATGAATATTTGGAATGGAGGTGCCTCTAAATTTGCGCATCTCACATCTCTTTTGAACTACTGAGATTCAGCTTTGCTCATAGAGTACAGCACCTTCTTTGATGCAGATATGCCATGCTGGGTGGTCCTGTGCCAATATCTCCCGTGTCTCACAAATCAGTTCCAAAATTCTTCAGAGAGACCTTGAGAGTGTCCTTGTATCACTTCTGACCTCCATGTGCCTGCTTGCCTTGCATGAGTTATCCATAAAATAATCTTTTAGGCAAATGTGCATTGAACAATGTGGCCAGCCCATTGGAGCTGTACTCTCTGCAGTAGAGTTTGAATGCTTGGTAGTTCAGCTCAAGAAAGGATCTCAGTGGGGGCAGCTAGGTGACACAATGGATAGAGCACTGGCCCAGAAGTGAGGAGGACCTGAGTTCAAATCTGACCTTACTAGCTGTGTGACCCTGGACAAGTCACTTAACCCCAATTGCCAAGAAAGAAAGAAAGAAAGAAAGAAAGAAGAAAGAAGAAAGAAAGAAAGAAGAGAAAGAAAGAAAGGAAGGAAGGAAGGAAGGAAAGGAAGGAAGGAAGGAAGGAAGGAAGGAAGAAAGAAAGAAAGAAAGAAAGAAAGAAAGAAAGAAAGAAAGAAAAAGAAAGAAGAAAGAAAGAAAGAAAGAAGAGGAAGGAAGGAAGGAAGGAAGGAAGGAAGGAAGGAAGGAAGGAAGGAAGGAAGAAAGAAAGGAAGGAAGGAAGGAAGGAAGGAAGAAAGGAAGAAAGAAAGAAAGAAAGAAAGAAAGAAAGAAAGAAAGAAAGAAAGAAAGAAAAGAAAGGATCTCAGTGTCCAGTACCTTATCTCACCAGAATTCAAATGTTCAAATGGAAGTGATTTGATTTCCAGGCATGGCGCTGGTAGACTGTCCAAATTTCACAGGCATAAAACAATGAGGTCAGCACAGTGTCTCTCTGTACCTTCAGTATAGGAGGCAGCCTAATACTGCTTCTCTCCCACACTTTCCTTCAGAGCTTCCCAAACACTGAGTTAACTCCAGCAACGTGTGTGTCAAACCTCATTATCTATGTGGACATTCCTGGAAAGTATACTGCCAAGGTAAGTGAACTTATCCAGAACATTCAAAATTTCTCCATTTTCTGTAACTGATGGTTCCACATATGGATGGCATGGTGCTGGCTGGTGGAGAATCTTTATTTTCTTGGTGCTAATTGTCAGGCCAAATTTAGCACAAGTGGCAGAGAATCAGTCCATATTCTGTTGCATCTCAACCTCTGAGGCTCCATTGAGAACATAATCATCTGTAAGCAAAAAAAATCTCACCCCAAATCTCCCTCCACTTCGGTGTAGCCTTTTCAAGTTAAATAATTTATTGTCAGTGTGGTAGCTGACCCCGATGCCATTTTCATCCTCATTGAAGGTGTCTGACAAAATTGCTGAAAACATCATGTTAAAAAGCATGGATGTGAGCACGCAGCCCTGCTTCACTCCACTGGTGACTAGAAAACCACAGGAGCATCATCAGTTATCCAGAACCTGTGCAATCATGCCACTGTCGAACTGGCATGCAATATTGATGAATTTCTCCGAGCAACCAAATTTTGCCATGATCTTTCACAGGCCCTCCTGATTGGTGGTATCAAAGATCTTAGTCAGATTGATGAACGTTGAGTACAGACTCCATTCTGCTCATGGCATTTCTCCTGGAATTGTCAGGTAGCAAGCACCATATTGATCATTCCTTGGCTCTTTTTTTTTCTGATTCTGATTATTAAAAAATTTATTAGAAATTATTAGAAAATCTAAAACATAAATAAAATTTCTAATTTTGCAACCCAGAGCCTAGAGAAGAGTATGTATGAATTCCTTGGCCCTTTCTGAACCCACACTGACTTTCAGGTAGATGACTGTCTTCCACATGAAGGATCAGGAGGACTCCGCCAAGAATCGTGCTAGCAGTGACTAAGAAAGAGACTCCCCTGTGATTGTCACAGAACAGCAGTAAAGGTACTAAGAAATCATTGAAGGTTTTGGGGCAGGCATGTAACAAGTCAGGTTAATATGGGCCAATAGTGTGATGGCACCATGAAAAAAGGGGAACAAGAGAGAGGGGACTATGGTAGAAGCAATATCCTAGTCCCTTTGCCTCTTCAAGTTAAGCTAGCTTTTCCTTAAAAGGCATCAAAGCCATCTTGGAGACTCAGTTGCCTCAGGAGACTCAGGGCTAGGGCTGTTGACATCACTTTTTGGTCACCTGAGAATGAAACAAAAAGCTCTTGGCCCTGTCTAAAGCTTAGACCACAATGGACAATCCAGGCAAGGGTGCTTCATTCAGCTGAATCTACCCATGGCATAATCTTGTGAATAACAGCTTGAGTGCCTCATTTTGTTCCATTATCAAACCTAAAGTACTACAGACTGGACTGAGGCAGGCCCAGCTAAGAACAAGGACGAGTAATGGACTGAGTAACAGTGGATGAAGGCAAGTGGAAGATGGTAAGATCATAGATTTAGGTCTGAAAGGGGCCTTAGAATCTGGTCTACCTACCTCACTTTACAGCAGCAGTTCCCAGACTTATTTGGCCTACTACCCCCTTTACAAAGAAAAAATTACTCAGCACCACCCTAGAAATCTACTTTCTTTAATCCTTTAACAGTTTTTTTTAATTTGTGTCATTTCAAAAAAATATATAAAATATGTGTGTGTATATATATATATATATATATATATATATATATATATAAATTTTTTAAATGACACATCTTAAGTTTAATAATTTATTATAAATTTGTGGGGTTTTTTCCCCGCATTGAAATTTTGATGATGCAACATTGCATCATGTAACCATAAAGTATTGTATTGTAAACAAGTCATTACATGCACATATTCCTGCCCATGCATGCTGGTCTTCCTGACAATTCTCTCCTGCCAACACTTGCTTGTTAGGACCTGTCAGCGGGCTTGACCACTGATTGGTTATAACTTGCATTTTGCATACTTATTTGGAAAATAATGTAATCACTATAACATAACTCTGTTACACAACAGATGAAACATGTACAAACGGCTTTTCAAAATTTTCTTATTTTCTCTTTTTTCCTTATGCTTCCACCACCCCTTTATTTTTATTCAATGCCCCCCCATTGCACCCAAGGTTACTTCCCCCCCCCATCATTCCAGATCCCCCCAGGGGGCTTTATCACCTACTGCTTTAGAGATTAGGAACCTGAGGCCCAGTGTACTCCCAAGCTAAGGGTCAATCTTTTCAGCTCCTGTATCTGAGACAGCTGAGTGACACAATGCTATGTCAGAGGAAGGAAAGACCTGAGTTCAGATCCAATCTCAGACACTTACTAGCTACGTGACCCCAGGCAAGTCACTTAATCTATTTGCCTCAGTTTCCTCAACTGTAAAAGGGAGATAACAGCATTTACCTCTCATCTCACTTTACCATTGTAAGGTGCTGAACACAGTGCCTGGCACGTTGTTGTTGTTGTTGTTGTTGTTATTTGTCCCTCCTTTTAGAAGAGGATCAATGACATCAGAGGGACTTGCACATGAATTGGATATAAGTGAGGCAGAGCTGCACAAAGCCGTCAGCCTCACTCTCTCTTCCAGAGTCATCAAAGTCAAGCAGCAAGACAAAAATAGAGACTACTGGTGATGGCCCAGGATGCAGTGGATGACCTTGGTGTCTTTGATGTCTGACCAAGCCCTAAGTGTTCTACAATGCCTGCTTTAGCCACCTTCGTGGCCCTTGGCATAAATCGTTCTCATCTGCCTATTCCATCAGGGGAAGTCTTCATGTGATTGGAGTAGACACCCCCCTACCTCACCAATGATTTAGCTCATCTACAGAGACCAAGGTGTGGCCATGGCACATGTTACAGCTTCTTGGGGCCACAGGTAACAGTGCCAGGTTAGGTGCCAGGCCTGCTCATCTGGCACATAGTATGCACTACATAAACACTTATTTCCTTCTTTCCCTCCCCTCTCTGTAGTGGAGCTCACAGACAATTTAGGGTTAAACATTCTCAAGACCCTCATGCAATTGCATTTGAACCTAAGCGAAAAGAAAGGGATGGTGCAGAGGCCAATGTTCTCCACTCACCAATCTGAATTCCTTTCTCTGTTATAGTGTCAGCAACAAAACCTCATAGTTTTGGTGCTGAATCTCTATTGAGATAATGGTGTCTGACCCACCTATTTCATAAGGTTGTTATGACCCTCAAATGAGATAATGTGTATAAAGTGCTTTTTAAAACCTAAAGGGCAATGTAATTTCCAACTATTATGATTATGGGGCAGCAATGGTAAAAGGAAATCTTCAAGCTCTGAAGAAAGCAGAGGGTGGATCCGGCCACACACACACATAAGCACAAAAATATTCATGTGCCCGCAGACTGGAAGATAAAATGAGATCACTCTTTGTCTAGCTTCTGCTTGCCCAGTGTTGAACTATTCAGCAAGAATGTCAACATGCATTTATTAAGAGCCTGTATTGTATGAGCCAGGCACTGTGTTGGTCCAGGGGTTACCAAGACAAAATGGCAGTGCCTGCCGTAAATGAACTTGGATTCTATCGGGAGAATAGTCTTACAGCCTGAACCTAGGCCCTCACCTCCAGGTAGCCCTCTCCTGAACCCGACTGAAATTCCTGATTTTGACCCTGTTTCTTTCTCAGAGTTAGTGGGGTGTCTACTCTCAGATGGAGTCACATCTGGCCCCATCATCTCTACCATTCATCTACCCATTTTTGAAGTTGGATTTTTCAGGCTGAGATTTTAATCCCCATCTCCAGAAAAGCTTGTTGGGCACAGTCCCCACCACATCTCCTCAGACCCTGAAGGGATATATCAGGACCACAGACTAAAACCCTGGAAAAGTCCCCTCTCTGGGTCTGTCCTGAGAAGCTGCCTGGCTTCCTTCCTATCTCTACCATTTCTTCATTTAGAATAAACAAACTTTAAAAAAGAAAAAGTTGTATTGCTGCTTTTTTTTTGTACCAGGCATTTCCTGAAATATCAACACTATCTCTTTTAAAAAATGTTTTTATTCTTTTGTTTTTAAAGCACCTTTATTTCCAAAGTCCAGGATGCTTGGCACATAAAAAGAGCTTAATAAATTCATTTTTACTTATACACTAATTCTAAATATATCCTTTCTCCCCCTCTCATTAGAGAATGCACTAATAAATGCATTTTCATTTATTCGTTAATTCTAAATATATCCTTTCCCCTCTCCTCATTAGAGAGTCATCTAGTAAAAAAAAAAAGATAATAATAAAATAAAAGAGAGGCAGAAAAAGCAGGCCAGCAAAATTAATTTACATATCAACTGAGGCTGAGTATATGCATGCTATTTCATGTCTACAGTCCTCTCTCCTCTGCAAAGAAGGGAGGAAAGTGCGTTTTCCTTCTCTTTTTCAGGGCTAATCTTGGTCATTTTAATTGAGAAGCTTTAAAGTTGTTGGCTTTTTTCTGTCATTGTTATGTTTTCCATTTTCATTGTTAGAGTCATGATGTACAATGTTTTCCTCATTCTGTTAAACCTCACTCAACATCAGTTCATAGAAATCCATGCTTCTCTGAATTCTTCATGTTCATGGTTCCTCATGGCCCAAGGATATGTTACTTTCCTCTATCAAACTTTTGCCTTCTTTTTAGGCAGAAAACAGAAGTGCTGTACCTGCCTTAGAATGCAGAACTGTCTGAGGAAGCCACTAGAGATTGGATGGCATGAGCTTACTATGAGCGGCAATACAGGGAATTCTCAGCTGGCTCTGCCATTGAATTGGGTGTCTGGACACCAGGGCCAACCAGAAGCCTTTTCTGTCAGGGGCATCATCAAGAGTTGTGGAGCCCATCCTTGTTTCTACTTTTTTTCCAGCCATAAAAAAAAAGGACTTGCACAGGCAGAATTAGAAAGTTGGCTGCCTGGCAGACTTCAGAAAAACCTGGAAAGATTTGTATGGACTGATGCTGAGTGAAGTGAGCAGAACCAGGAGAATATTGGACACAGTAACAGCCATGTTGTGTGATGACTAACTTTGATAGATTTAGCCCTTCTCTGCAATGCAAGGATCTAAGACATCTCCAAAGGTCTCATGATAGAAAATGCAGGTCAAAGCAGACTTTTTGCTCTTCTTTTTTCTTCTGTTTTGTTTCTTTCCTCTTTTTTGTGGTTCCTCCTATTGGTTCTAATTCTTCCTTACAACATCACTAATGTGAAAATATGCTTAATAGGAATATATATGTAGAGCCTATATCAGATTGCGTGCCATCTTGGGGAGGGAGGTCAGGAGGGAGGGGGAGAAAATTTTAAAATTCCAAAGCTTACGGAAGTTATTGTTGATAAATCAAAATAAACTAATTTTAAAAAAATGTTGGCTGCCTGACAAAGGAAAGAGTTTGAAGACTTATGGAACTGAAAGAGACTTGAAACATGCAAGACATTCCCACTATCTGCTAAGCACTGGGGAGAGAGAGAGCACCACAGAAGTTTTTCCTCAATGAATTTATGATCTAATAGGTATAAAAAACAAATACACAAAAAATAACAACTCAACTTTCTATTTTGGCTTCTTGGTATTATTAAGCCCTTTCCCCACAACAACCCACTGAGGCAGTTACTATCAATAAATCAATCAACAAGCATTGATTAAGCACCTATTGTATACATTCTACTGTAGTGTTATCATTTTAACAAAAGTGTTAAGGGTTCAAAGTGAAGAATCTAAGGAGAGACTACTGCTAGGGCACTGGTGGCATCAGGAAGACCTGAGTTCAAATCCAGCCCTGGACACTTACTAGTAGTATGATTCTGGGCAATTCACTTAACCTCTCTTTGTCTCATGTGAGATCATATTTGTAAAAAACACTCAACACAGTGCCAGGCACATAGTAGATGCTACGTAAAATGCTTATTCCCTAAAGGTATACTTTTCCTGGAGTCAGGAGGACCTGAGTTCAGACACTCACTAGCTATGTGACCCTGGGTA